GTACAGGGAGTACAAGAAAATTAAAGCCAAACTGAGGCTGTTAGAAGTCCTTATCAGCAAACAGGATTCTTCAAAATCGATTTAAATTGTGTTCCTCCAACCATTGAATAACATGCTGTTTCTGTATTCTGCCGCTGTGCTTGCGGGGTGCGTGTGTTCGTTTGTCATGCACTGTTGAGAGAGTCCAACTTGTGCACTTTATCGTGGTGCCACTAACGCGTGGAGGGTGAGTAGGTGCTCTCTAGAGAGCAAGTAAGATTTCGGAGTTCGAGACTGCGCTATCCAACTTTAGCAAACACAGTTTCCATCGAAGGTTTCCATTACAGACGCATCCACCTTGTTCCCAACAACCATAGGGTGTTTTTTTCTTTAGCATTCAAGAACTTTGAGACTTTTTGTTACTACCAACTTTGGCATTGTTGAAGAAATTCATACCGTAATGCTACACTGAAGTACTGCTCTTGCCTATTTTTTATTATGGGGGAAAAAAATCAGCAAATTAATCAGCTCTTTTTCCTGGAACGTGTAAAATTACAGACTGAAATTCCTTTCAAAGGACTGCTGTGGGACAACTTTAATTTTTGGTATTCTAAATTGCATCTGTAACAGTAATAATTAACATCTGTGGATTTTGCTCATTAGTGGTCACGTTTCCTCCTTGATAACGATGACAATGGACAAACCAGAAAGTGACCTTTCTTAGTGTCTTTTAAAACTGGGAAAACTGAAAAGTTATATCACATGCTGCCTACAGGACTTGCGTTACACTTGTTCATTTGATGGGTTATTGTTTATCAAGTAGTGGTGACACAGTGTTTTGTCTGAATTGGATACTGCATCTCCGCTTTCGGAAGATTTGAGGAACGTAAGGAACATCTCAGTGCATGGGAAATGTGATCGCACTCAGCCTTGCGTAGCTCCGGCAGGAAAGAGCTGGCTTAGGACAGAGAAAATTCCACTGTACCTGAAATAAGTTGGTATCAAGGGCTAAAATCAGGGTAGTTCCTGCGCACCACAGGGTGAACTGTTGGGTTCGAGTGCAGAAATTACTGCTGTTTATCACAGTTTTGTTTTACAGCTGGAGAATCAAAATAAGTTACCTAACCTTTATGATGTAAGCAAAACAGTTTATGGGCCTTGCATGATTTAGCTTCGGAGTTGAAACTACATAACGTTTGGAGTATCACATCTGCTGTGCTGAATGACGATTTAGCTACTAGCTTTATGCTCTGCAACAGCCATCAGCAGCTGGGTTTGAGCTGGCAAAATCGTAAGTGTTAATTTTAACTGGTGCTTTCTCAATTTTGGTTTTTTTTTTTTTCCCTTCAGTGTATCAGTTTGATTGTGGCCACGTTTTGCATGCACCTGCTCTCGCTGCATGGGTCTGTGACTGGCTAATGGCAACACAGCGACTGTTCACACTGCTTTATGAAAGACCAAAATCAAACTTTCTCACAAAGTAAGAAACGGCTAGCGTGTAACCTCATAGACGTGCTCTGTCACGAAGCATACGAGCTAGGTTGAAAGTAGGCTTTTTAGTGCTCAGATTTCATCTGTGTACTGTAGAATACTTCTCGGTTTGTTTTACTCTGCTTGTAGGCATGTAATTTGGGAATTCAGAAAAGAAAAAGCACTAAAACTATTGAGCACTGGTGGTATGCCTTTTTTTTTTTGTTGTTTTTGAAACTGCAAAATGATCCGGGACCTTAGAGAATTATGAGGTTAAACTAGTCTTGAGACCATTTATCAACTTTGTTCAGTTCCGTTGTGCAATGTACACTTCAGTTACTTTTCTATCAGTCTGCAGACACGGGTGTATCCAAACATTGAAACTAATGTGTACTGTATAGTGTTGTACATGAATGTTTGTGTTTTATATACCACATGCAAAATGTCAATATGCACTATTTAAATGTTTTAAATAATATATTCCTCCTTTATAATGCTTAAATCTATATGATTCCAATATTTTTATAAGTGAGTGAGTGATCAGACTGGTTCCAGTTCAGAATTAACAGCTGCTTTGTGTTTGTTAGGCAGTGTTTGGCTGTTTATTCAGTATAGTAGATAAGCATGGCGACAGTTATGCCGAGTGTGTTTTGTGCCATCCTTGTTGAGCAATAAATAAATGGTAGAACTAGGCATTTTGTGATATAACAGTTTTACTTTGGTAAAAGCAAACCCTATATATCTATATGGATATATAGATACGGAGTATATATAACTACACCAGATATAATTGCTTTGCTATGTCTGGTGCTCATTGTATAGACTTTTATAATAAAAGTACCTTAACCTTTATTGTCATACATCTTGGTTTCTCATCATGCTTTCTCCTTCGCTCCTGCCTCTTCACAACAGCCCTTTGCTCTTCCTGCCCATACCGGGGGTTTCGGGGTGTTGCTGGGGCAGGCCCGAGTGCTGCGGCCTGCCCGGTGCTGAGACAGTCCTCGAGGAGGCTGCGGCGGCTCAAGCCTTGTTTTACCTCTGCAGATTGTGCCCTCTCTGCAGAGACAGCAGCAAGCGACCACCTCAGCTCCTGAGCAGCTGGCCTCGGGGCGCGAAGCCGGCTTCGGTTCCTGCTCTGTGGGGACGCAGGAGCAACCCGCGAGTCTCGCTCCTTCCTGCGCCGACAGCAGCAGCTTCGGGAGTAGGTGTGGGCAGAGAGCAGATGTGGCCGTCGCGGGGCTGGTAATTCAGTGCTGGTGAATTCAGCTGATGAGCAGTGTTGGCTGGTGTCTGCAGCCGTAACGATCCCTTGGCCTCAGCAGCAGGCCAGAAAACGCTGTTACTGCCTACGCATCTGTAAACACACGAGGACACTTTTCCTCTGAACCAAAGCGAGGTGTTTTCCCCCTGGTATATTGATGTAAGTTCATATGAGAAGTGACTGAGGTCTTTCAAGCTGACTTTAGTGCTGTATTTTTTGTAAATCCACCTTTCTTCAGCCTAAGGCCTGGCAGGGGATGGAAGACCTGAAGGTGATCCATCTGCTTGTGGATGTGTGGCAGTGCCAGGTAGGTGGGAACAGGAAAAGCAGGAAGTTGAGGGAGCAAGTGAGGAAGAGGAGACAGAAGGCAGCATTCAGCACGTTCTTTACGAGCATCCCTCTGATCACATGGCTTTCCTCTGAGCATGGGGGAACAACAAAGCACAAATCCTTGGGATACTGGCTTGAAGAATGAACAAGGTGGTTCCGGATGTGTTGTTCAGTCCTCCGCCCTTCCTTAGCATGGTTTATTCAACGAAGCTTGCTCGGATCAGGATGCTGCTGAGAAGACAAAAATCCCCTGAGTGGTTTAGTGGGAACTGCTTCGAATCCACGTGCTACAACCAACGAACGAAGATTTTAATGAAGAAAAATAACCCTGTTTGAACCCCAGTAGCCAAAACGGAGTAGGAACAGATCGTTTTAAGGGTGCAAGGAGGTCGGTGATAGCGGGACAGATCTTCCTTGCTGAAGAATTCGTTCTGAGACAACCCAAATCTCTAGTATTTCAAGCTTTACCTCTCCAAAGAGGTTTCCTGGAGCCGTTTGACCGCAGGGCAAGGAGCTAGCTGGGAAAAGTGAGGCAGGCCGTATGGAATTCCCTGTGTCCAGGAGGAACAGAGCGAGGATGAGGAGCACCTGAAAGCTCTTCAGTGAAGTTCTGAGTAAGTAACTGTGTAAAGGTTTTGAGACTTCCTTGTCCAAGAGAGCCTGCCAAGCGGGAGGAAAGGTCGGAGGTGCAGTGTATCTGTTCTCCTGCATGTCAGGCTGTTGAGTAACAGAGACAAACAGGTATCGGTGACCTTTTTTCTTGGACGTGTCCTGGGATACAGTGTAGGAAGAGCCCTGGGGAAGCGAAGTTGGGATTTTACACTGGTCCCTTTCAGGAGCGAGGGGAGAGCATGGCTTGGCCAGACACCTGAAGTGCCACAGTGGTGAACCCCAACAGGCTGGCGCGTGGCTGCGTCCTGGGTCCCCGCGGTGCCACCTGCTCCCCTCTCCCACACAGCTCCTTGGTGTGATTAGATGCAGGGAGACCACGGAGTAGCTGGAGAGCGCTCTGCAGGATGTAGGGCTTTGTAATACCATAAATCCTTGTAGGATTTCTACTTGTTTTGGGGTCCTGTGTGTCTGTACGGCAGCAGAACTTCCCTGGGCGGGGAGTGCCTGGTGCTGCTCTGTGTTCTGATGGCGTTTGGAGATGTGTTTTAGTTCTTCCTGGGGCTGAGTCCCAGCCAAGAGCAAGTATTTACAGCTACCTATGCGCAGATAGCGTCTGGCCTGAACGTAACACTTGGTCTTTTGAGGCAACGGGTAGAAACGGATTTAGGAATAAAAAGGATGTTCCCCAAGTCCAGGCTGGCGCAAGGGTGAAGCAACTCGCCCTCTAGTGATTCCAGCTCTTAGGGCCTGGTCAAAATAAAAGAATTTGGGGTTTTTTTCCTGAAATAATAACAATTTTCTTTGCCTCTGAAGGCAACTGTAACCTGGTTTGGAAGCAGTGAGTTCCTGGAACAAGAATTGTTGCGAAATAAGCATTAACCTCAGCAGCCGATGTCCTAGAAAAGGAAGCAGACCCGGGAAGTGAGGGTGAACGAACCGTGTGCTGGACGGTGCTCGGTATGTGAGGGCTGTGCAGGGCTACCCAGGGCTGGAGATCGAGAGGCGGGTATGGAGCAGGCCCAGGATGCTGCTGTTGCTCTCTCTGCAGCCCCAAAGCCAGGCAGAGGGATAAAGGCCGCTCAGGCAGTTGTAGGGATGCCCACCCACAGCTCTAGCACAGTTGGGCAGTTCTCAGAGTTGAAGAAACCCCTGAAACCAAGACAAGACCCAGAAGCAACAACTGTACACAGTTTATTAACATTCCTGTTTCTGTTACCAAAAAAACAGGAAAAATTAAGGGGGTGGGGGTGAGGAGACTTTGGATTTAAACTCTGTGAAGTCAGGCATCCGTTACCAGGCGAGCTCGTGTATTTTTCTGTGCCATCTTGCCCCAAGTGTTCTTCAGTTGTCACATGTTTTTCTTAACTTTCCGGAGCCTTGCACTGATTTTATTTACTTTCTTCTCCAGCTGGATTGTGTAGCTGACGAGCCTGGAGCACACACACACACAGTGACACATCCTTCAGCTGACACTGCCCTGAACTCGCGTGCGCAACCTGCCTCCCACGCGCTTGTGTCGGCTGCCAAGGGTCTAACTCCCAAAATGCCCCTTCGAGCACAGGGTCTTACAGTCTGTGCCCCTCCCTGCGCAGCCACAAGCTGTTCTGGAAGATGGACGCTATTTTAAATTCCTGTCCCACCTTATTCTTGATTAACATCCTTACACGCTGCTCTACTGAATTCTTTTGCTTCCTCCTTCCCTCCCTGAGGGCAGCTGTTGTCAGCCAGCGTAAGAGCACTTGAAGTATCTTCAGCTGAGCGACGTGGTGTTGCTCAGGGTTTGTGCATAGAGCTGCAGCTGCCTGGGGACGGGAATAAGCCTGCAGGACACTTACCACCAAAATTCTGCAGCGAGGATGTCACTCTGAGCTCCGGCTGGGTCCATGTCCTCAGGAGGTGGATACATCTGATGAAGTTCTTTCTTTTCCTGTACCTTGGATGACTCCAGATGGCTCTGTTCAGCACCCGAGGGATTAGAAACAAGAAATCTCAGAAGAAGCCAGCATAGAATCGTGGAACAGTTTGGGTTGGAAGGGACCTTAAAGATCATCTAGTTCCAACCCCCCTGCCATGGGCAGGGACACTCTCCTCTAGACTGGGACACCTGTAACGTGTCACTGGTGCAGGGAGGGAGCATGCATGTAGGAAAAAATAGCTGCAGCTTTGGGGAGAAAAATGTTCTCCACCTGAAAGTACGTTTTCCTTCTGGCCCTTCCCAAAAGGCAGGATCTAGGAACACAGGGATTGCAAGTGTTGTGCGTCGCAGTGTTTACAGCCTGCCAAGAGGCTTCTTCCTCTCCTGTAGAAGGGATTTTAATAAATACACTTTACAAGTACTTGCACTGCCTTACCCCAGGCATGGAACTAAAGACTGCTGGAAACCTTTGTGTAAAGCGAAAGGCAGCTCCAGCAACCTTTCTTCTTCCCTGTGACCCACTGACTGCTCTAGAACTTGTTTTCTGGGCATCTGCTTCTGTTTTTAACGTTTGGGCAAATGCCCAGCTCGCAGCTTTGTACCCTCGCTGAGACGCTGACCTCACCCTGCTGCCAGCTCCGCTCGGGTAGTGCGTGACCTTGCCCCAAGCAGCTTTCTTTTGAAGTTTTGGGCATAATTAGTGATTTGTATTTATTTATAGGCCTAGCTTTTGCTATCCCTGTGATGTTAAAAATAGTATCCTGTGGAGAAAGAGCTTTTGTAAGTAACAGTGGGGACAACTGTGACTCCTTTTGTATTACTCACCTTTTGAAATATACTCATCGGTTCCTAAGAATACAGGAAAGCACAAAGCCTACCTTCTCATCAGCACTGTCTCCAGTGGAAGGCTGAGAAATATCCTTTCCTCGAGTGGCTGACAATTCCTTGCTTGTCATTCACACAAATGAGAAGAGACAGAAGTCCTGTGAGAACAGGCCCGTGCTCCGTGCAGGGGGTAACAGCAAATGCCGAGCTCCTTCCTACCTTTCCAAGCTTTCAGCAGCTGGATTTGTATCCATCTCTGGTTTCTTCAGCTTGAGCTTGACAAGGGCCTTATTGTAACTCTGAGCATAGACAGGGAAAGTCGGGCATGTTAACTGGCTTGTGTTTAACCACAGACACTTTTGCACAAGGACTTGAATGCGAGGAACAAACCGCTGGTATGTCGTCTTGGCAAATCAGCAGCAATCCTCCCAGCCTGTCACTTTGTTCCCTTGGCTCAGCTCAGAGAACTTGCCCTGCTGTATCTCAGATTTGTCAGGAAACCCCTGACATTAACAGCCAACTAAATCCCGTAAGAGTTTGTTTCCAGGAATACTCAGTTCAATCTTAACTGTAGTCTAGGGTAAGTAGGGGAATGAGCTTGGGTGGGGGAATCTTAAGCTGTGCTGCTGTTGCTGCCCAAACTGACTGTATCCTGGCCAGGAATTCCCCTTTCCCCATCCTTAGTGCAAGGTACGCTCTGCAGGAGCAAGGTACCTTGTCTGTGTCACCCATCAAATCCTACAGGAAACCTTCAGGCGGATACGCAGGGCTGCCGGCATGCCCTGCGGAGCGGTCAGGGTAGGCCGGCTTGGGGAAACAGCCTGCCTGCGCAGGTCTGTCACCCCACATCCATCTCAGTCTGATTTGTCTCGCTGGTGACGCTGACTTGTCCCAGCAGCAGAAGTGTGTGCGCTCGCCCTGGCTTCAGTGTCTGCATTTGGTGGGATAGGAGGCTGTAATTTCAAGTTGAACTGAAAGGCTGGGGAAAGATGTGTTCCCCTTTTGTATTCATGTCTGGCACATAGAAATGGTCAGAACTTGGTGACAGAGTTTTAAAGGTACGTATTTCTACTTGTCTTCCCATGCAGAGAAGACCTTTTGTTTCTCAGACTGGAAGAGCAGCAGCAATAACCTCAGAAGAAAGCTGATGACGGGCTGTGTCACAAACCAGGGTGGTCTTAAATGTTGCTTTTAGAAGGATGAAATAAAGGTAGGCTCCTTGCACCCGCGCTCATATGCTGCTCCAGCCACTAGGAGCTCCTGTGGGTTTGATGGAAGGATGTCCCTGTATCTGCCAAATGTTTATTTAGAGTGAAAAATCAAACACTGGCTGTTCTTACATGGTTATGGCCTAGCTGTTCCAGGCTATCTGCTAGTGATGCAGCTTAGAATTCCTCCTTACCTGGCATTAAATGTGGTAATTAGAGGCGTGTTTACTTACCTCTCTAATGAAGTCTCTGATCCGAAGTTCCTGACTGCGTATTACTTCAAAGTCTGCTTTGACTTCTGAATAGGTGTCATTTATAATAGCCAAAACCATGTTCTGCACAGGAAGGATGCAGTTAGATACTTGTTTCTGGAACCGCATTTGTATTATGCTGGGGCTGTTCTGGGGGCACATACTAAGGGAACTGAAAAGCTTCACTGGGTGCAGACCTGCTCCTACTGCAGTTCAGCTACCTGATAAACTTAGGGTCTTAGGGAATATTTATGGGAGACAAGTCACGTTTCCCATGTGCAGTATCAGCTAAAGGGCCCAGTTCCTTGGAGGTAACAGATTTCCTGTTGCACATCTGAAGCTTTTTCAGATGCTGTTTCAATCTGACCTTCACAGTAGTGAAAGGTGCGTTGTTTTGTGGTGCTAAAGTCCCTTTTGTGACTGTCTGGAGGAAGGGAGAGCTGTGAAATGTCTTGCCTGCTGGCCAACTCCTGCAAGACTCCGCCTGTCTCCCTGCCCAGGTGTATGGAGGGGCAGCCGGGACAAGCCCACCGTTATTTTGGGGTGGAAAACACCATCTTGGAGCACTGCGCAACCGTTCGTCTCTGCTGCTTACACAAAAGGATAAGCATTTTTAAGATCGTACCTACCAGCAGTATGAAGAACACAAAGAATACAAATGTCATGAAGTAAATAGGTCCAAGGATTCTGTTTGCTGCTTCTATGGTTTCAAAATCAAAATCTCCCAGCACAATACGAAACTGTGTAAAGCTGGGAGTAAAAAAATACAAGAATGAGGTTGACTGGCTTCTCCTAAATAGAAGTACTGTAAGCATTATTAGAAAAAGAGTGCAGTAGATAGAACTGAGACTGAATCACTATTACCTTAGTCACTGAAATCAAAAGGCAAGCCAGGACAATACTGCAGTGGTAAACTGGGCTTTTAGCATCTCTTTGAGAATTTGAAACTACAGAGGAATTTTTAAATGGCTTCTAGGAGAGAGAAAATTTCATTCTGGATAAATGACCTGGTTTTGTTTTTTAAAATTACTTCCCCTCTGTTCTAGCTTCGTGATCCCTTATCTCCTCTCAGTACATAAGGTAAGAGTATAGAAAGTAGCATACATGCAGTTTTGGAAAGTGGAAAAGTCTTCAACTTGCGACCCGAAGACCAGATAGCTGAACTGGGCATAGGCAAAGAAGATGATGAAGAACATGATGGCAAATCCAAAGACGTCTTCGGCACAGCGAGATAAGGTGGAGGACAGCTGCATCATGGTTTTGTTAAATCTCATGTATTTAAATGTCTGCAAGAGAACAGAACAGGTTGGTTTTGGGGGATCGCAATACATTGCAACTTCTTAATGGCATTTCTGGAATGTTTTCTATAATCATAATTTACAGGCTAAGTCATAGCTAGAAATAAGGTGCGTGGTATGTATCTGTAAGGAGAACTAGGACTGGGGGTGTTTCTGGAGAGGATTAATATCCTGCAGGACAAAGATGCTTAGGTGCTGGAGCTAACAGTGCCTAGACAGGCCTTTGCCGGGGGTGTGGAATCAGTGCTGGCAGACATGCACCCCCTGCTCAAGGGCGTTGCAAGCCACACCACCCTCCTGCATCTGAGAATTCTCTGATGGGCTGTTACTGAGGAGCTCTCTTTCACTTTGGGTGTGAAACAAGGCCTCAACAAAAGCCTTCTGCGACGACAGTCATTAATTACAAACCCAGTCGCGCTACTAAATTAACAGTAACCGGTCTGAGGGAGGATGATGCAGGAGGAATGTGCAGCCAGGGAACAGAATGGATGTAGCAAGGAAGACTGCCCGCAGAACTGTGCTCCCAAACAGCTGCTTCCTGCAGCCTGGGCAGCAGCCGAGGCCAAAACCCTGTTTATTTTAAAAGGATGTGACCTTTCTTGATAGATTACGCTCAGGTACTTGGGGCATGACTGTAAAGATGTGAACACCTCCCCTGCCTGTCTCACAGTTGCTTTGTGCTGGGCGTTTCACACGTGCCTTAGGGGCCAAAGGCCCTGTAAGCAGCCTGGGATCAGGCAGAGCTTTCAGAAATTTCATCCAGTAGCTGGAACACCAAGACCACCCAAACCAAAGTCACTGACGTCTGCTGGGTGCAGACCCCATTCAGAACCAGGAGGGTTGCTAGATTAGGGGCAGTGGCATGCCAACGTGCAGAACTGGTTTGGCCCCAGAGCACCTGGTTATGCACAAAAGTAGTCCTTAATTTTAGAGGTTTGCTGCTCTGTCTGGAGATCACCAAATCTACTTGCAAGTAATGATGAAATTAAAGGTGTCCTGGCACAAAGCCCCTTCTGAGCCAAGTTCAGACACATCTTGCCTTCCTCTGCAGTTGTTTTTATAGCTGTTGTAGCCAAAAGCTATGAAGAGCTTCATCTATTACAGCCATGCCATTGGTATAGGTCAGGCTGTGACCTGGATAATATTGGCTCTAGGAAAAGACTGAGTCTGAGGAGGCTGTTTGGCTATGGTAACTTCCCAGCTGCTGCAATGGAGACAGCTGCCCATGTGCAAAATGTTTTTATAGATGGGCTTGGAATTTGTGTGACCCGTGTTTATGAGAAGGGGGTAATTTTAAACTCTTCTGGAATCTTACAAAGTTCTCCCTTTTAGCTCCACCTTTGCAGTTCACCCATGAGAAGGTAAATGTGAATTTTTATGCCATGCTTAGAAACACCATAATTCTTGATTCTTGAGGGAAAAAAAAGGGAACAAACCCAATACCTTTATCCAAGCAAAGAAGATGTTGACAGCAATCATGTTGTTGTAAAGAACTTGCCAGTACGCAAGGAAATAGAAGTTTGGATATACTTGGGCATCAGACAGCAGCTCTTCCATTAGCTGGGACACTTTCACAGTGCGGTAGATATTGAAGGCAATGGCCAGGATGGATACCTAAAGGAAAGCAGATGCCAGTGAAACAGAAGTCCAGCTACACCCCCTCTCTTCAGGCTTGTCACTTTGCACAGGAAAGACTTCAAAAGGCACTTGGTTTGATTTGGAGAGCCTGAGCTTTTTAGGTATTTTGTCATAAACTGTATATATGAGACTTTATTGGCCAAATCAGTTGTCATTGTACTGCAATAATTTTGGGTTTGGGCTACTGCATACATTCTAATTTTACTGTGTTAGCTCTGTTAGGCACTAGCGCTTTGCTGCTCCACAAAGATTAAGGCCAAAAATAGGTGAATAATGAGAGGATGTGGAGTCACAGCAAGTTGACTAGAGAAGAGTTCAGGTGTGTTGAACTGTTCTGGGCCATGTGGGCGCTTCAGTGTAGGACAGTGGGTGACTGGCTCCAACCGGGAACAGACTTGGGCTGTTCTGGCTCATTGGCTGTCTATCCAGGGCTGGCCAAGGCTGGCAAGCACAGAGGTGAAAGTCAAGGCGTAGCTCACCACCAGCAGCAGCAAATCCAGCCAGTTCCAGGCACTTCTGAAATACTCCTTTTTCAGTTTTCCTATTTTTATAGCTCCCTGGATTATGAATGTAACGATAAAGAGGCAAAAGATGATTTCGCAAGATGCCAGGAAGTAATCGTAATACGTGATGTATCTGAGGAGCTTCACAGAGTAGATGTGTGAGGAGGTGAGAGCACCCCCGGTAGCAGGGAACTCCACAACCAACCTGAAAAAAATTGGGGACTGATGTTAGTTACCATCCCTTTAAACCACCTCAGCCCTTAATTTTCTCATATTAATTATGGCTACATTAATAATACCTTACTGGGACTCCTACGTCTGTAAGCTTTTGTAAGGGTTACGCTCGGTCCCTCGTGAAGAGTACTGCATGGTAGGGAAGGCCGAGGGGAAAACAAGGAGCTCTTGGGTTACCCAAGCTATGGTGTTTGGTTAAAGGCCTTTAAAGAAACTGTGTCAGGAAAGCAGATGTTCACCCTATCCTGAGGCTTTTCCCTCTGCTAGCTGACAACAGAACTCATAACCCAGGCTTTGACCTTGCAAAAGGCTGTGAAATCTATTCCAACAGAGCAGCAACCAGTTGTACGGACCAGACACCAGCTAGTCAAAAAAAGGGAAGGGGCAGCTCCGAGTCTGCTCCTTGCACTAGCTGAATTTCTGCATTTTGAATGAATTGCCATCTTGCCAGCCGCCACCTGAGAAATGTGGCTACGGTGCCTGAGATGACCAGCCTTTCCTTGTGTCCTTACGGAATCATCGTGCCCTGGCAGAAGGGGTTTCACAGGCAGCAAAGGTAAGGACTCACCTGACTACACAGAACAGGTTTATGTTAGCGTTATATGTTGAAAAGTCGATAAATACAACCCTGGTTCCTCTAGTCAGCCAGCCGTTCCGCCGGAGAAACACCAACTTCTCCACGCTCTCCTGCTTCGATTTAGGTAAAGTGAACATATATCCCCCGCCGCTGTACAAGCCTATAGCTCCCCAGTACCATGGGGATAGCGAGGAGACTGAGGTGTATTTCCATCTGTCAGAAACAGGAAAACAAAGCAGCTCAGCTGATGGGAACTGGACTGAAGTAAGCTTTACCTTTTCTTTTACACAGTCCTTGCTAGTTCTTGTGGTGTTCTGTACCCATAGCTGACCATCTAAGCCAGACCTTTTAGACTTTACATGAAGCCTGAGTGAGGCACATGGCCTTAAAACACTCCCATTCCTCTTATTTGCTAACTCAGTAGATTCACCAAACAGCAATTGCTGATGAATCTGGATTTCACTCAACGTCGGCCAATTTGTTACCTTAAAAGCTTTATAGGCAAATGGAGTCTCTCTGGTTTACGTGGTTCATTGTTCCTGTGGCATGTTCTTTCTTTGGGTTAAATCATGCTAAAGCAAGGGTGTGAAGCAGGCCTTTGGCTTGGGGTTGTCAGCATTTTAGCATGATCCCCATTCATGAACAAATGACTTAATTTCAGGTCTTGTATAGCTGAGCATTTCTCCAGAGATGTTAGTAGAGGCAGCCCATTTAAAATGTGCTTTTGCTGAACTGGGCTTGCTGTTTGCAGTTCTTCCTGTCTCCACGCTATAAATTTCCCAAGCCAAATTCCCGTCTATAATGTTGGCACAAAACCAAATTCATGACTTATCGCAGTGTAAACAAGAGACCAACTCAGCTAATTGCACGTACAGTTGTTACTGAGGGAAGAAGAGTGCCATTAAGAATTACGTTAGGTATTCAAGAACAGTTCTGTGCTGAAGCAGGATGACTTACTCCGACTCGTTCTTCAGACCGAAGTCAGACCTGTCTTCAGCTCGGTAACGATACTCACTGTAGCAGTCTTCTATAAAAGTATGGAAATATGGGTAGACGGAGCAAGTGTTGTTGCGTACTTTCAGCTGGCGAATCTGTGCTACTCCTAAGAGCAAATTCTCATAGTAAATATGGCTGTTGTTGTTCCGGAGGGTTAACGTCGTGTTGTTATACCATTTATCCCAGTAGAGTCCATCCAATAGAGGCCCTTCTGCAAACTAAATGTGCAAGTGAGTTTCAAAAGAACGTCTGAAGACCACTGTTACCCCACTTTTTAGCATACAAATCTCCAGAGGGTTCTCGGGTTACTTACAGCTACAGTCTAAGCTAGAATACAAACAATTCCCACCTATAGAGTCTAATAAATAAGATATATTTACATCTCTCCTCTTTTTTATTTCCCTATGAGTCAATTTTATTCCTTATGCAATTCCATCAGAGACATGTGATGGGATTATTCAGAGTAAGACTAACACATACATCTGCTTGGGGCTTCACTGAACAGTGCTGCTGAATTCCAAACAGCACTGTTGAAACACAAACGTTATCTGTTGTTCTAACAAAATCTGTTGGCTATCTTACTCTGTTGTGGGGTATGGCTCTGGTTTTTAGTAATCTGAATCTAAAAGACAAGTGTTTATTGCTGAAGGCGCGGGAAAAAAGTAGCTCTTTTTCTCTGGGTGTTTCTTAGATGCAGATAAAGAGCATTAAACTTGGGGAGAGCATTACCCCGAGTGCCACACATGAGCAAGGGTTACAACCATTTCTAGTATGTGAGCACACGCGCTGTATAGCAAGGGCTCACTGTTACATGGACCAGTTCTAACAAAAGCTCTGTGGTAAGAGGGAGGACAATTCTTCCAAATAAATTGTTAAAACCAGGCATTTCCGTTTTTAAGGAAGAGTAGGGTGAGAAACTTTGCCTTCTGCTGTCAGCTGGGCAATGCTAGTAATTCTGGGAAGTCCTCCACTTAGTAGTGAAGAGAGGGATACGTGTTTTGCAGCTGGCACTGCAATATGATGATAATAATTATATAATAATGTAATATCATAATGATGTAATAGCAAACCAGGTGAATCAAGGTGCTATGTTCTGGCTGCCCTAGTGGGAATCATAAATATTCTTTTTAACAGCTGAAAGTCAAAAGACTATAGACCCCAAATATTCCTGGTTTTATTGATGCTTGTTTCACACCAAGCCTAATAATGAGAATACATTGCAGCTATTAATTAGCCTATTGTTTTCCTCAACTGATTATTCAGAAATATCAGCATTATTCTTACGAGGAGCAGCTGAGGGAGCTGGGGTTGTTTAGCCTAAAGAGGAGGAGGCTGAGGGGATCCCTCTCTACAGCTCCCTGAAAGGAGGTTGTAGGGAGGTGGGTGCTGGTCTGTTCTCCTGGGTAACTGGTGACAGGACAAGAGGAAATGGCCTCAAGTTGTGTTTAGGAAGTTTAGATCAGATATTAGGAAAAACTTCTTCCCTGAAAGAGTGGTCAGGCAGTGGAACGGGCTGCCCAGGGCAGTGGTGGAGGCACCATCCCTGAGGTGTCCAAGGAACGTGCAGACGTGGCGCTTGAGGACGTGGTCTAGTGGGTACGGCAGTGCTGGGTGATGGTTGGACTGGAGGATCTTATCAATCCTTTCCAACCTTAGCGACCCTGTGAGATTGTCCCCAGAACTTATCTCAATGCTTTTTAAGCCGTTACTTGCTTTTCTTCAGCTGAAAGCACCCCATCTAGCACATGGCTTTTTGGAGGCTGTATTGCTGTAATACCAGCAGCTTCTTGTTTGCTCTCTTAAGCAACCGTTTTTGCAGCGAAAGCCTTACCCTCCAGAAATCAGCTCTGCTCCCAATGCTCCTGAAGCTACTCCTGTCGTCCTCAGAGGAGGATTCCAGGAAGAGCTGGGCCATGACTTTGTTCAGGTAGTACATGTCCGTGCTCACCATGCCAAACGCCACTGGAAAGAAGGGGCAAAGAGGGGGTGCTCGAGGGCTGAAATCAGAGGATGACAACAGCTTCTGCCCCTGCTTCCGCTGCCAGTCATGCTGCCAGGAAAAGGCAGGCAGAGCCGTCTCCACCCAAGTGGCACTTTAGGGTGGAAGGCAGGTGGAGTAGGGAGGAAATGCTGAGAGGCACAGCGTGCATGTTAACTGCTCCTCAACAGCCCGCTCGGTGGCTGGACGACTTACGTATGGAGAGGTCTGTCAGGAAAACGATGTAGATGAGCAGGTCCCGGAGGGTGGTTTTCAGTTCCAGTTCGGTGCTGCAGCTCACCCGGGGCTCCTGGGCACCTGGTCGGGGAAAGGCCGGCGGGGCAGCGGGCAGTCAGGGCTGGGCCCAGCTCGGCCTGCAGCCCGCTTCCCGCGCT